GAGTTTCCAGCTCGTTCGGGAAGAATAGAAACATGTAAATTTTCCATGTCGAATCAAAATGAGAGCCTACTCTATCTGGTCCGCTAGATCGTCCGCCATTTTGAAAATTCCGAATCACGCGGCCAAGTTTTTTGGTTGACTGGCACTAGTCTCCTGTACGTACTTCAGTCCACAGCGTACTTCAGTGACCCTCTACACGTACATCAGGACATCCCTTATATGGAAGTAGTACGAGAGGCCCTACTCAAAGAACTAGACTACGAATTTCCACATGTAGTATCAATCCGTTCCCAGAGGTCTTTGTGGTGACGAACATTTCCTGCAAGAACATATGTAAGCATTGTTAGAAATGTATTGAAAGGCCGACCATCTACGTGATGTATTTGTTATTTTAACGTTCTTTACTCGTATGAAGCTAAGAAACCCCTTGTTTAGACCTGTGTTTGTTCGCGTAGAGGTGCCGGAGAATAAACACCGCACAGTCTGTGAGAACATCACCTGATCACGTGAACATACAAAGCAAATTGTGCAATAAAAATCGTGTTATGCTGTGCGCAACTGATCAAACCAGCTGGTTCAATGAATACTGTTCTATAAATATCAATATAAAGAGCGACCGACGCTGTTTAGAGTAAACCGCAGTGCCGCTAATATGTTCTCTCTTGTGCTGGTAGCGTTATTCTGTGTTCTAAATGTTGCTTCTTCTGCTGAATTGTCTCAGAATCAAAAGGCGCTGGTAGGTACATGGTCACTTCCCTGTGGCCGCAGATTTTTCAGGGTTTGTTCAGCGCTCGCCCAGGATAACAGTTTTGAAACATGGAGTTAAATGGCTCAACGTTTATCACTCAGGCTTTGGCTATCGATTATCTAGCTAATAGTATCCTGGTCTGATTTTTTCCTTGTTTAGCATGTATTGTTTTTCGAGCTTTGTTTGTCGCTATTTTCCAAACTGCTTTTTGTGCTTTTCTGAGAGAGAAGAGGTTGGCTAGCAAGTCTACACTTGTACCTTAACTTTAGGATGACAAAATTTTGTACTGATAAAAAAATCACAGGGAAACTTGCACGTTAATGTTTATTTATTTTGAGAAGACATTTTTCGGCTGCTTTTCTTTACAATGTATATTTAACAGCATCAACATTAAAGACTGTGTCACGTGACTGACTTAAAGGCGAACATTTTAACGAAAGCGAAGCGATGGCTTCTGCAATGAATTAATAAAAAAACAGAATTCTACTTTATGCAAAAAAAGGGACACGGGTCTTTGTAATGGAGTACAACACTGTCTGAACTATGTTCTCCTTTTAATTCAGTGATGTTTACATTGAGAAAGACGAGTCAACTCATTTTAAAACACGGTGTAATTCTTCAGCAATTCGGTCTACAATGCTATTGATAGAGACAAGCCTGACAAGTTACTGAACAAATTGTTCAATTTAACAAAAGCTATAATATCACGTGATCAATCAAAGATTTAATGTAATGAAATCTATTGACATAAGTTTGAAATGTCGCAAAGCGTATTTTCCGCAGCACAAACATGCAATTTTTCGTTGCTGGATATTTTTCCACAAGTCATTGCACAAATCATAATGACAGAAGAGTAAATAAACAATTTACAGACTTTCTACATCGGGAGAAGACAATTACGCAAGAAAACACGAGTATTTTGGGCTTTTGATTTGCGGTACTTCCCTCAACATCCATCGCAAACCGGAAATCTTCTACAACGCGCAAGCTTCCTGTGGTGTTCCATATTACGTAATGGAACAAGTCATCGAGCTAATTTATGATGTCACAAAGGACAATCGAGTCAGATCAAAGGAGATCTTGTTGATTGTCGATCAAAGCAAAGCTAATTTGTACATAAGTCAACTGTTACCTGCAGCATGACGGGATGGATTTTTTGTATGAAAACGTTGACACACGGGTTTTTTATGGTCACAGATGACAATAATTAGGTACA